AGTAGGCCAATTACAGCCGTTAAAAATGTCTTTGAATGCGTTAAGAAAACTGACACTAACGAACTTTAAACAAAATTTGCCAAATTTTAACTACATATTAAAAATATAAAACTTTAGGAAAAAGCTATTTCTAAGTTGGAAAAATATCGAGTAATTGAAGGTGTTTTTTTTTTTCTTCTATTATTCAAAATTAAAATATTTAAAAAGAAAGGTCGCAGTTACTAAACTTGAACGATCTTGTCAGTGTCTAAATGGGTTGTTTTTTTAATTTTAAATGATTATAGGATTTTAAATTAAAATCCTATAATCATATTTTCATAAATAAATATCTCCTTATTGAAGTTGTTTCTTTTTTCATAATTCTTGCATACTGTTCTGTAATTTTTCTTATTGTGGGGACTTTTTCTCACTCCAACAGAACTCTTAATTTTAATAAAACTAAAACAAAATTCTTAATTTATTTTCTTTGACAGGGTTGCACTTGAAAATCTGTCTATTCAGTGGCAAGCCACTATAAACGGTTTTTGAATTTAAATTTTAATTAGCAGAAAAAAGTTATCTGAATGTTGTTAAATTGATTTTCGTCCAGTACAACAGAAAAATCTAACTTTTTTTTTTTGTACTTTTATTCATAATTTAAATCTTTGCATTTTCTCATGTTAATTATGCTTTTACACATAAGTCATATGATGTGGATTTTGTTTTAATTATAAAAAAAATTAAATCCAGTGCCTCAGTGTTTTCTGAAATTAGTCAAATTTTCACTTGAATAAGTAATGATAAGAGTTGTAGCTATGCACAAGACGACCCTCAACTCATTTATATTATAAGAAGATGACTAATACTTTTTAGTTTTTAGAACTGCCTAATTTTAATAAACGGAAAACGGTAGTCCCTTTTTGAAGAAATTTCACGCGCGCACGCGCACACACAATTATTGCTAATTCTGGGTTTCCGTTTACATAATAATTAGTATTGTCTGAATAATAGCAGACGTTTTCAGGAATCCTTCTCTAAAGAAATTCATTCTATATAACAATTATCTTTGCAAAATAATATAAAATTCCAAGACATATGAGAAGATGGGTGCAACCAAATTATATGAATAGTCCATTGGATCAGAAATTATTACTTTTAAATTTAAACTAAATGTAACATTTTTTTTATCTTTAAGTTGTATGATGATTGCAATAATTCTTGTTTTACTTTTGTATGTATGTGGTGTGTGTGTCATTAATCCCAACTACTTAGAAATTGTGCTATTGTTTGAGATCACTGATAGCCTTACATATCATCTTCTTTTCTATTGTGCATGCCCACCTCTTCTTTTTTTTTTTTTTTTTTTTTAATTGAGTGGGTCCCACAGCATGTTTGGGATTTAAGAAATAGGCGCGTCGTCGTCAGTCGACTAAATCCAGATGTATTTATTCAACAACAACAAGTTTCTTCTTTCCCTAAACATTGATCCTAAAGTATGGATTAGGGACTTAGGGATTTTTTTTTTAATGATACCTGAACGTGGGTTTTAGTTGTTAATTCCAAATTTTGGTTGCTTTTTTTATTTTTATTATTTTTTTTTTTTTTTTTTTTTTTTTTATAATGCTAGAGCCTGATTATTTGATTAATGACTAATAATGAGATTGTCATTCACATCTGTTTGATTAATGATTTGCCACTGGAGGGTCCTTTTCTCTAATTCAGAGTTATTGTCCCTACTTTTGAGATTTCATATCTAGCAAGTAGCAACATTCTATAGTAAGACTAGCTATAAAAAAAATAAGTCTGTTTATGTGTGTAAATGTATCTCCATATATAATGTGTACCTTTATATTTATGTATTCTCACAGAGCACACAGATACTACACTATGATCCTAGGCAAAAAAGTTCATCCACACAAAATAATTTCATCGTTGACAGGTGCTATATATTTATTTTTATTTTTTTTATTAGAAATGTTTTTAAACATATATATTTAAAATATGTTTACATAAAATCTCTTTTCCTCTCATACACACACAAAATCAATTACGTAAATAATCTATTGACTTCAGGAAATAAAGCTTGAATTTTAATTGTTTGAAAAATTTTACTCTCTTTCATTTATTAAATTACATCATTTTTTTAGCATTCTCTAGAGTTTACTTTGACTTTCAGAGTTAGCTTGAGGAATATTTATGAACGTTCTTAAATTTAAATATTTAAAAAATTATTTTTTTTTTTTTTTACTTATGTTTATAAATACATGTTGCAAAATAAAGTCTATATATTTGACTTGATAAAGTCCATCAGAGGGTGAAGCACGTCAGTATAGAAAAGTTTTCCTTTTATCTTTTTTAGTCATATATATATATATATATATATATATATATATAATATATATAATTGTGTATTTGGGCAGCAATCCCTCTTTTATACACGTTTCATTAAAGTAAAGATGACTAACAAAGTACTGTGATTAAGCTTTTTAATCAATTTTTCTTGCACTTGTATAAGTGTTTTCTATGCTCAACATAAAGTGTGTAAAAACAGGCTAAATGTTCTATATATCTCAGAGCTTTCGGCTATTCTATTAGGATCTTTGTTGTTTTTTTTTAAGTGAATATGTAAATTTTTATATATGTGTGTATCTATAGTAATGGATATTTTTTTATTTTTTTTAATTTTCTAAAAATGGTCAGCACATTGTGGCCATGTTCATAGATGATATTATTGAGTGTCAGCTTTCTTTTTTATTTTTATTAAGGCTTACATTATTTTCATGTAGATGTGGTTATTATAATCATATTTTTTATGAGTATGTTGCAGACAGTTTGGTAGGTTTCCATATGCATTTATATCTATCCTAATTGAGCAGTGTATAGGCAATAATATCAACTATGAACACAGCCACAACACGCTAACAGTGTTTGGAAAAACATTCACATTACTATAGATACACATATGAAAATCTATGTATTCATTTAAAAATAAAAAAAATGTTTGATAATGGCTAATAGAATAGCTGAAACCACTCAGATATATAGAACATTTAGACAGTTTTTACACACTTTATGTCCAGAAATACAAGACACTCTTCAAATCTAAATTCAAATTAATTATAATAATACTAGTTTATCCATGCCATCAAAAATGAATTTATGGCATATATGAAATTGATGTTAAGTCCTTACTATTATCAGGTTTTTATATGGAAGTCTTTAAATATTTTTTAAACAATTATTTTTGCTGTTATCTAATGAAAAACTCATTGACTGGTCACATACATATGTTTGAACAGTCTGCCATTGTTAGAACAGACACTGGCACCTGTAGTCGTCAATGCAAGGGAGATAAATATACATCTCCCTTGCACTAGCAGCATTGAATATTGTAAAATATATACAAATATGCTTTGCATAATTTTATTATTAGTTTGTTCCATGCAGTAATATAATTTCTTCTGAATTTTTGTATATGCAAATTAGAAATCATTTTTATTTCTAGTTGACAAACTTGTCAATCATATATCTGAGATAAAATATATTCCAATTTATATCATACTCTGATAATTCAAGCTGAAATTGAAGAAATTTAATATCATGGTCAGTCCAGACTCCAGATTGATAATCTGCCATATTGATGAGGTTGAATTAGATATAATTGTTGCATTTTACTAGAAGAAATCTCTATTTGTAAATTTTAAATATCTCTAACAAATCTAACTGATCAGATTAAAAATTGAACTGTAGCTTTACAAGAAAATATATTTTTATATTTCTAAAATAATCCTCGAAAAATAAATTTCAGTAAAACTTTTCAATTTTATTTTTAACAATAAAATGAATATTGTACCAAGTTCTGCAATTATTTGTGTCTTTGAAGTCATATTTTCATCTTTGCTTTTATATATATATATATATATATATATATATATATATATATGATATTGCACATTGAGTGCTGGTATTAATATAATAGTGCTTATTGTAATATAACAGAGCTATTAAGCATATATTAATAAATATATCCCTCACTGGTAATATGTCTCAGTTTCATGCACAACACAATCTTCATGTACTGAGTAGAGACTTGCATTGTGCATGAAATTCAGTCATACTACTGGTGGTGAATAGTGTATATATATATATATATATATATATATATATATATATAATTTCATCTGCTATTTGTAAAATCTCAGTTACAAATAAAAACAACTAGAATTCTAATGTGGAATAACTTGTGTGCAATAATTATGATCTAGTTAGTGCAAAGAGGAATTAATTTGCATAAAGCAAAAAGAATTGTGATGTATGAAGAGGGAAAAAAAAGTTGACAGGCAAGATTTTTAACTGTATGTATATATTTTAGCATCTATATCTCTTATGTAAAGTCTCTCTCTCTTTCTCTCTGGCTTGGAATGTAGGTCAACAGGCAGGAGCCATCAACCAATGACAAAGTGAAAGACCATTTTTAAATTACGCATTCATACAGACCCTACTACCTTGGAATAGTAGGGTAAGCAGTGAATCGACTTACCATATGTTTTATTCTTTGTAGTTTGGCTAGATTTGAATTGGCTGGATTTTTAAAGGCTCTTTTATGAATGAAAGCATGTTTACTTTGCTAGAAAGAAATGTATTTTTCGTTGTTGATATTAGCATTATAAAGAAATTATGTAAGTGTATTAATGTTTAAAATGTATAACAATTTTTTTAGGATATTCTTTTCCTTTTTAGTCTCTCTCATTGGATTGCAATGTTTTCATTTCTGCACATATGAAGCTAAGTTACCTTTAATGTTAAACTGTATCATTTACATTGTGTGTGATATATATATATATATATATATATATATATATATGAAAAGTTCTCGGCTTGACCCACTTTCCAGAGTCTGACTTAAAAAAAAAATGTTAAATTATCTTGACTATTAAAAACTTAAGAATAATAACTAATGTAAATTTTTATTTACTTTCAGAAATTTTAACAATGAATTGGAATGTATAGTTAAGTAAAAATTGGTAAGTAAATTTGATTTCTTTTGATATTTTGTTACTGCAGAGTTAATTATTTACTATTTTAACTTATTTTGAAAATTATTTTAGTAAAGCTTTTTTCTTTTTTCTAGTCTTTTCATAATGCTAATATAATTTGAATATTAAGTCTTTATAAAAAAAAAATCCGTTTTGGTAACCTCAAGAATGTATGAAAGTTTCTGTAAAGGAGATAAAAAATTTTTTTTTATTAAAACTTACCAACATTATTAATGTTGAGTAGAGATATATATATATATATATATATATATATATATATATATATATATATATATATATATATATATATATTTTTTTTTAAGTGATACTTACAACAAAGGAAAATGCACCACATTATTGTTTATTTAAGATGAGCTTTTTTTTTTTTTTTTTTTTTTTTGAAACTTTTTTATATGGGTATTGGCAGGCATATTTTAGAAATTGGGAAAAGATGTCTGAAAAAATTCTTTAACAAAATGTTCATTAGTAATATTAGCATCTGGTTTTTCTTTTTTCTTTATGCCCATATCCCATTGAAACACTGGTTCTCATACAATCATACAATTACCAATAGTTAAGCAACATTGTGTCTAGTCAGTATCTAGATGGGTAACTGCTTAGGAATACCAGGTGCTGTAAGCTTTGATGTGGAGGTAGTGTGATGGATAACTTGTTGGAATTGGAAATCCAGTTGGGTTTGTTATATTCACTTGCACACAAATATCCTTGGGAAAGGTACAAATCCACCTCCTTCAACCAGTTATGGGTTAATTAGTTGGACTTGTATCAGTAAATCATTATTTTCTAATAAAAAAAAAAAAAATCTTACAATATAAAAATACTTTCTGTTTTTAAATAACATGCAAAAGGTTAAGTTGTAAAACTTAACTCAATCTTTTTCTTCCTTTACATTAGTTTTAAATTTAAAATTTTTTTTTTTTTTTTTGGCATGAGAAGTTATCATAATTTACATGTGGTCTGTTGTCCCCATTTTTGCTAATATCAAAACGTTTTCATCATCAATCCAGGGAATTTCGGACCTTTATTTAATACACAGGGATAGACTGTTCTCATTCCATTACCCATATCCAGGGATATGTGACTTCTAGTTCTTATTTAATACTGCTCAGTTATTGTTCATCCCATTTCTACTGTGTCCAGGGATTGAACTTGCAATTATTATATCACAAAATTCAGTAAACAACACTTTAATCCACTCGGCTTTTTCTTTTTTCTTTGTACTGTCAAAACACTTTGGTATATTCTCTGCATGGCAAGGGAAATAACTTCTTTACTCTAGCTGAATAGTATAAAAAGAAAGGCTTATCTATTGGCTCTCCATATTGTCTTCTCAAAAGTCAAAGTATAATAGACATTTGTCTATTTTTATGGTCTTTAATTTTAATTTCAGCATAGTTAAAATTACTTAAAAACCCCTTGTAAATTTTCTGTCTTAATTTGCAATTTTCCTTTCTCTACAATTAATTCGGCTTAATTTTATTATTTTACTAGTTTATCCATAGCAGTAGCATGAAAAAATGATAGTGTTATATTTTAAGTCTTTATTATTTATTAGATTTTTACATGTAGATTTCTAAGTAGATATTTATCCACACACCCACTTGAACAGAATACGGCACAAGGTTGAGTTTAAAGTGGCAGGCCACACCTACATAGACTAGAGAGAAAAATTGCTCACGCCTACTTGATGCTTCTTTTTTGATTATGCCTCAAGAACTAGGTAATGACCTAGTCACCTCCTGTGAGAAAGGTATTACTTAAGGGGGTTACCCCCTTGAAGCTAGAGCATATTAAATTTCAAACATTCAGTCCTGCTAGGCCAGAAATTTTTTTTTTTTTTTTTTTTTAGTATATAAATAAATCGCCAGTGCAAGGGAGATAACTCTGACAAAAAATTTTGTATGCTAGAAAAACATTCAGTTTATGAGTTTAAAGATGAAAAATAAATATCAGATTTAAAAAAGAAAAAAGATTTTACAAGACTTAACATTTCTCTTAAAAATATTAACAAATATACAGAAAGAACAACCAGCTGAAAGATATCTAGTGATTTAAACGCTGATGTTTCCATAAATATATAACATGCTTTTATTATACTAAAGTTCACCCAATTCAAGGCTCGAGAGCCACTCAAAGTAGATGTTTACTGTTAAAACAGTTATGATGAATGAAAGGGAGGTGAATGGATAATGATTGATCCATAAGATATTAGAATCACTTGTTATACAATTAACTCAAAACTTGTGATATAATTATTTCTTTTTAATATCTAGCTTTAGACTGTATTTCAGTAAAACATTCATCTTGAATGGTAATGTTAGAATTGTAAAGTGATGGATTTTTACTTAAATTCATTATTAAGTTAACTACTAACTGAATCACAAGGCTTTTCCTCAAGTGGTGTAAAAATGTTGTCTCAGAAGTTTGTGAGTGAAAAAATTTGAGAATTTGGCAAATGATATTAAAATGGAGTTGAAAGTAAAATTATTCCAGAATGATCCATAGCAGAAAGAATGTCTCCATTTTTCTTTCTTGTTTTGTTGTTTTTAACAATGAAAAATGACTTGTACTTGTACCCACTAAAAATAATGTTTATAGTAATTAGAAATAAGATTGGATTAAAAAAAATAAATCAATTATATGTGTATGTGTGTGTTTATAATAATAAAAACATAGTTTTAAACAATGCTATATTTATGTGCTCAATATCGAGGATAAAACGTATGTAAATATAAAAGGGATGCTGAAGCCAACACTGAACGGCAATAGTCTCATTCATGCTTGAATTCAATCTTCAAGCCATATTGATTACTTCAAGCATTATTTTATTATATATATATATATATATATATATATATATATATATATATATATATATATATATATATGGGAAAATTATATAAAGTTTTAATTTAAAAGTTAGAAATTTCAGCATTTCATTTCCTTCATCTGCATATATAATTACATAAACATCACTTTAATTCAAAGAAGTCCACAAAACACATCACATAAAAATTTTTTCGATTTTCAGACCTAATAGCATGTATATTTCATGGCTCAAGATCATTCTTCATGGTCCAGCTGAGAACTTTTCACTATATCCTCTGTGTGTGTGTGCATATATAATTAAAGGATTTATTTTTAATCCAATATTTTTATTTTTCATGTATCAATTCTTGCTATAGAACATTTTTTTTTTTTATTGAAATCTCTTGAATGCAATGTAATATGCAGGCTTATAAACGTAATACTGTTTAAAGTAAAAATTTAGTTTTTACAGCTTATCAACCTTTTGCAGGTTATTTAAAGTCAGAAAATATTTTTAGATTTACAGAGGTTTTGGAGATAATGATTTTTACTAATACAAGTTCTACTAATTAACCCATAGCTGAGGGGGAGAAGAGGTGAATTCATACCTTTCCCAAGAGTATTTGCACGTAAGTGAATATAACGAACCAGACAGGAATTGGAACTCAGCTCACTGATTTCCAATTCCAAACTAATATCCATTAAACCACCCACACATCAGCTGGTATTCCTAAGTAGTCACCCATCTCTGTACTGACCAGGTTCAACATTGCTTAACTTTGATTATTATGTGAGAACCAGTGTTTCAAACTAAGTGTTAGAAAGGAGAATATTGACATCTTTTGAACAGGAGTAGAGGTTTATCCATTGTTTGCTGTTTACAATTGGGTTTCCAGTCTTTTCTAAAGTCTTCTCATTCTTTTTCACTCCCAGAAGCCTCTTGCATCTTGGTGGTATTATTGCTTGCTTAGGGTGAATTGATTAAAAGAATAAAGAAAAAACATGGTTTTTTATCTCTGCAAAATGGTCCTTCATTGCTGAACAAAGTTTTTATTTTTAATTTTCACTGTGAAGATTGTAATCAAGCACTCATTTTAAACAAAATATTTATTAACTTTTTGATCTGTCTATATTTCTGAGATGAGGTATTATGTACACATATACAAGAACACATGGCACAGTGGATAAAGGCATTAGTTAGATCCAGTGACAGGACCCAAAGAGGGTGCATTCAATACCTGGTTAAGGCAGTGGAGAACTTAGAGAGGGGAATTAACAGGAGATAACTGATAACTGACATCCATAAGACATGGCACGTGGAACTAGAACAGTCTACTCCAGCGAGCAAAATAAAGAGTTCCATTTGACATCCCAAACACCTGAAGAAGGCCGGAGCATACAATGGCTGAAACGTTGTGATAAATATGGCAACAAAGATGAGGATGATAGTCCGAGCAATGTAAATAGTGTTATTAACTTTTGTTTATGTAATTATTAATTACACTTTCTGTTATTTGGGAATATGAAATATATGAAAGATATGAATCTGAATGAAGCATAGTTCTTTTTTTTTTTGTTGTTAAGGAGTACAACAGTTTGAAGTACAGAATCTGTGTTTTCTATTTTTTATAACTTCGGAGAAATCATAAGAATTTGTATAAGATATAGACACTTGTACTTACACTCAAAAAAAGACAGTTGAAATTTCTAATGAGGAAAGGTGGCCAAGAGAATTTAACACTCACAGTACATATTGAAGGCAAGAGGGACAGAAGGAAGTAGCGAGTAACCTACCTACTGTAAATATATGACAGCAAAGACTGGTAAGGAGTAAACATTGCTTAGAGCTGCAAAAGACAGGAAGCTGTGGATAGCCATGATCGCTTATATCCTAAAGGGAAAAGATAAAAGATTTATATAAGCCCATACTCAAATATAAACAAACTGCACAGTAGAATATATTTATCCTAAATTATGATGGAAGAAAATTTCTATGTATGTATATACACACACACACATATTTATATATATATATATATATATATATATATATATATATAAAGTCAGTATCACCCCAAGCAAATGGTTTCAGGGTTTGGAGGAATTAGGAACAGAAACATTAGTAATGAGTAGAAAGAGAAAAAAGAAAACAGGGGGAC